CATGCCGCCCCGTGCCCACCAACAGCAGCTGCATCACAACAAACACCAAACGAAATCTTAAGTCTCCAGGCGCAGTTCTCACACGTGATCAAACTTCAGACATCCTCACCGTTCAACGGACACGACTTCTTTACCTGGAGCTTCGAGTTCGAGCTGCTGATGGAGGCCGCGCATCTTCTGGGATACTTCAACGGGTCCCTGCCATTCCCAAGCAACGGCACTGGGAAGGAACAAGAATCTTCACGTATCAGTCGCTGCTGGCGTAACGGTCTCCTGAGAAACCTGTCACCACAAGACAGCAGCAGAGCATCAGAACGTATCGGAGTTATGGAAACTCCGCGGAGCTCGCATGGCACCATCTCAAGTGCCTTTACCAAGCAAACGACAGCGTGACACAAAGCAGACTCATGCAACAGCTGACAACAATACAGATGAAGACCGGGGAAAAGGCGATGCAGTATATGAGTCGCTGCCAGACCCTCCGCGACCGCCTGCTTCGGTGCGGAGGAACGATCACTGAAGAAAGCTTCGTGACACTTGTCCTCGCCGGGCTCGGGCCAGAATGGAGAACCACACGATCACTTCTTCGAGCCCACGGAAGAATTTCGGAGATGCACCTCTGCGCCGAGCTTCACGCTGAACAACAGGAGATGGATCTGTTCGAGGAAAGACAACCAAGGAAGCAACAGCAGTTAGTCTTCTACACTCAAAGAAGAAATGACAACAACTACAACCGACGCAGCAAGCAAGATCAACGCGACAACCGAGGACTCACCATCGTGCCGCCGTTCTGCCACAACTGTCAGACTTCCGGGCACTCCAAAGGTCAACTGCAACCGCCCTCGCGTTTACCGTGCAGCAGACCCACAAGTCGCTTCCACTCAAGCAAGTCCTCCAAGGCGCTCTTCAACATCTGCACAACAAACACCAACATCATCAACTGCATGGTACACATCGACAACTGCGCACCCGGATCACCACCCACTTACGCACCAGACGAAGAGAATTCCCGCCGCCGCGCTCACAAGGACTTCAGGTCAACCCGACATACGCTGCGGTCGCCAACGCCGAACCCACCGGGCGAAACACCTGGTTCTTGGACAGTTGCTGCGGTCAACACATGTGCTCCTCCGGACGCTTCGTGCAACAGGAGAAACGCCTCAACCGCGACGTCGTCATCACCGTCGCCAACAACGAAAACCTGAAACAAACAGACAAGGCGTGGTTCAGTTACAATCAATGGAGACAAACGTATACTTCAGCTCAACAAAGTCCTCATGTCGACAATCTGGGATACAACCTACTAAGCGTAAGCCAACTAATGGCCAAGGGGATTCACCTGGAGTGCGACTCCTTACTCCAACGAGTTCCGCTTTACCACGGGAAGGGCGGCCTCTTCATCGGTCGTGCCCTCCTGAAGTCCGCGTCTTCGTGTTGGACTTCGTCCCCGACCGCGGAACTGCCGACAGCGACGGCATCGTATCGTTCGCCGCCTGGACTCACCCGCCGGATCTTGATCCCGACTTCGACAGTGACGGCTTCTGGCACTCCAACACCATACCTGCAGCAGAGAGAACACGAGCATTAGCAGTTATCAGACAAGAAAGACAAGTACCGCAAGTGTCCCAACAAAACCATCACCTGCAGTATCGGCAGCAGGACCCAGCCGAGTACCACCACCAGCGACACGAGGACCGCCAACCGAAGCAGACCAACTTATGCCCGCCACACGAGAAGCTTGTCGAAGTCCCGCCTCGGTCGTCGCGTTCTTCTCCAACGCCGACATCTACCACCGCTCGCCCGGTCACCGCGCTCCCGACGACATCTGGCACCAACGTCTCGGACATCCTGCAAACAGCACGATACTTCAAACAATCCAAGCAGAGGTGTTAGAACGCAACGCCCTTCTGACGACGAGCGGCCAAGAACTTCGACGACCACGCGCACGGTGCTTCACATGCCCCGAAGCAATCTTCCTCATCAACCTTTCCCATCCCATCACAACCCAAGCGCACTCACTTACGCTCCGATGGAAAAGTCTACAGCGATATTTTAAACATGCCTCGAGACGACACCGAAGCCGACTTCAACTACGTCATCACGTTCATCGACGCCGCAACCGAATATGTCTGGCACTTCAATCTCACGAGCGCGATCAAGCCTTCGAAGCCTTCACAACATGGCTTCCATCGCCGAACGAGAATCAGGACTCAAACTCAAGAGCTTCCAGTCAGACGGTGCACTGGAATACCAGTCACAACGCTTCAGGACCTATCTGGCGGAAAGAGGAATCAGACGCCTGGTGTCCCTGCCCTATGCTCACCAACAGCAGGGGGTCGCAGAACGCATGAATCGGACCTTGCAGACGACAATGCGAAAACTGCTTCAGGGGATGAGACTGCCAACCACACTGTGGCCCGACGCGATGACACATGCTGTTCACCTGCACAACCTGCTGTCCTCGTCATCACTTCCCAACAACGCATCACCGCACCTGTTGTGGACACGAAAAAAGGGCAGCACAAAATTACTCAGAGTTTTTGGCTGCATGGTACAGTACAGACCCCACACAGCCCGAGCAGGACGCTTCACACAACGAGCTCGTGGGGACTACACCTCGGCATCGCCAAACATTTTCACGCGTGGAAAATTCTCGACATACAAAACAAAAACACGGTGGCATCACGAGATGTTATCTTCTACGAGCGACTGACGTTGCAGCATTACCTGGACAACATTGCCAACACACAAGACCCCACCGACGGCTTCTCGGGACTTCGTTCCTTCGCCGACCGTGCCGCCGAAGCTGACGCAGCAGAAGAAGACGTACCTGAAGCCTCGGAAGCTGCCGGACCACTCCCGTTCTGTTCCGTACCTGTTCCACTCGACGAAGAAAATCCTCTCGATAGCAACAACCTCGACACCTTTTACCACTTCGCTGACCAAGGTTACATTACACCCCACCCAGTCGACACAAATGTTTCAGAACGCATCGGTCCCAACTTCTTACCTGACCCAGAAGACGGTGACGAAGCAGCTTATTCCGGGAATGAAAATTCCCCTCGACACACACCCACGGGACTGCAGATTCTAGGCCTCTGGGTCTCCGTCCAGCATCCGCCGCCGCCTTCTCCGCGAGAGCCTTCAACCTTGTCGCAGGCTCTGGGGGGGGAACATAAGGCGAAATGGAAGGAAGCGATGGAAAAGGAGTTAAAGGCTCTGCAAGACCGGAAAACATGGAAACTGGTACCTGCAACAAGCATCAACGGGAAGAACGTCCTCTCGGGGAAATGGGTGTACCGCATTAAGACCAACTCAGACGGCTCCATCGAACGATTCAAAGCTCGATGGGTCGTACGAGGCTTTGATCAACGATACGGGACCGACTACACAGAAACCTTCGCTCCAGTCTCCCGTCACACCTCATTACGCATCCTACTCGCCATCGCGGCCACGAAGACATTACCACTACGCCAAATCGACGTCGCGAATGCGTTCCTATACGCACCTGTGGACGCTGAGATTTTCGTCGAACAACCCCACGGATTCATCGACGACCCCACGAAAGTATGCCAACTGACAAAATCCCTTTACGGGATCAAGCAAGCCCCGCGGCTCTGGCAGCAGCATCTTTACGGCCGGCTCGTAAAAATTGGATTCCTACAGCTACCGCATGACCAAGGCATGTACCGACTGCAGCAGGGAAGAGAATACATCCTACTCATCGTCTATGTCGACGACCTACTCTACATCGGTTCTACCACCGACATCGCCACCTGGTTCGAAGGGGAGCTGAAAGGAGACCTGACGATCACGGTGTCCAACTCAGTGACCCAGTACTTGGGACTAAATGTCGTCGAAGACAACTCGGCGTTCTACCTACACGCTGGAAAGTACGCAGGCACTATCGCGAAGAAATTCGGACTGACGCCGACTACGGTCCCGACCCCTACCGCTACGGAAATAACAACAGCGCCTCCGCAAAACTCCCCGCGAAGCAAATCCAGGAGTATCAATAGAAGCTCGGCTGCCTACTATTCGCAGCAGTAACCTGCCGACCCGACCTGTCCTACAGTGCAAGTCAACTGGCGACGCATCTGATGCAACCGGAACAGGAAGATCTCGAGGAGCTCAACCGGGCACTACTCTACTTCGTCTCCACGCCGACGATCGGGCTTACCTACAGCAAAGCAACAACACCGTCCGTACGACTAGTCGGATACGTCGACGCCGACCACGCGGGAGATAAGGAAAATCAACGATCCAGGACGGGCTACATCTACCGACTAGAGCCCATCGGAACTATCTCCTGGCAGTCGAGCAAGCAGGAGTTAATCGCACTATCCTCGGCTGAAGCAGAGTATATCGCCCTTTGTACTGCGACCAAGGAAGGGCTCTACCTACGGGAGTTACTCGAGGAAGCGAAGATCGCGACCCTACCCGCCTTCTCACTCCTCTGCGACAACCAATCCGCGATCAAAATCGCGAACAAGGATGGCTTCGCCAACCGAACCAAGCACATCGCCCTACGGTACTTCTTCGTCAAGGATGAAATCGCGAAGGGGAGACTTCAACTCAGTTACTGCCCAACGACAGAAATGGCCGCAGATTATCTGACGAAGAAATTGGCGAAAGCAAAATTCGACTACTGCATGCTCCTGACCGGGCAAACAAACGTCACCGGATCTGAACATTCCAGCACTCCAGAAACGAAGGGGAGTGTTGGAAATATCTCAAAGGACTTGAGCGTTTCTGAAGTGTAACACTGTACTCGAGGAAGATTACAGGGGAGCACGCGAGTCAACGGAGGTTACACGAGGGGGCGGACAAAGAATGCGAAAAGACTCGAAAGGTCGCAACTGGAGGTTGCGACTGACCGTTACAACATCACGGATGGTAACCGAAGCGGCAATCGAGTCGCTGTGCGACTCGGTAAACCGTTCCTGTAACTGTATTCTACAACTGCCTTCCTATCTTCTATATATTGCTGTATGCTTGTTTCTTTAATTAATCATTTGTTCTCACATACTAGTACAAGGGTTCAACTGTCTCAAACTTCCGCTGCACTACTCAAAGTCTGAAAGTCTCTACAGCTGAGACTTAGTCTCTGCCAAAGATCCTAAGGGCTTTTCTCAGCCCAACAGGGCGCATAGCGCGATAGTGACGAACAGGTACATTAGCGAATAGGTGTTTTCCTAGAGCTATAAATCTTTGTTGTGTCCTTTTTATTGTTAACCTCGAGATTTCAACTTTGAGAACTTTGAGACTTTAACTTCAGCAAACCATATACTCAAGTTCATTCTTACAAGACTTCCGCTGTCGTACTAGTCTACCATTCCAGTAAAGATCCTGGACCAACATGTCAACTTATACATATTATCTATGTAGAAGTTATAGGCTAGACTGAGGTATGCTTCTAGTGAGTACAACCAACTAGTATTTGTTCTAGGTTTCCACCTCTAGTCATTATTCGTTCTCACTTTGACATGGTATCACGCGTAGGTTAGCATCCCCCACCTACCGCTTCCGCCCATACCCTAGCTAGGCCACGTCGCGCCTCCTAGCCCCGTCGCGCCTCCTAGCCACGTCGCCCCCCCCCCCCCCTCCTGGGCCACGTCGCGCCACCCTAGCCCCGTCGCGCCACCCTAGCCCCGTCGCGCCCCTCCTGGGCCCCGTCGCGCCTCCTAGCCCCGTCGCGCCCCTCCTGGGCCCCGTCGCGCCACCCTAGCCCCGTCGCGCCACCCTAGCCCCGTCGCGCCCTGCCTGGCCCCGTCGCGCCCTGCCTGACCCCGTCGCGCCCGCTCGGCCCCGTCGCGCCCTGCCTGGCTCCGTCGCGCCCGCCTGGCCCCGTCGCGCCCTGCCTAGCCCCGTCGCGCCCTGCCTGGCCCCGTCGCGCCCGCTCGGCCCCGTCGCGCCCCGCCTGGCCCCGTCGCGCCCGCCTGGCCCCGTCGCGCCCTGCCTAGCCCAGTCGCGCCCTGCCTGGCCCCGTCGCGCCCGCTTGGCCCCGTCGCGCCCTGCCTGGCTCCGTCGCGCCCGCCTGGCCCCGTCGCGCCCTGCCTAGCCCGTCGTGCCCTGCCTGGCCCCGTCACGCCTTCCTGGCCCGCCGCGCCTGCCTGGCCCGCCGCGCCTGCCTGGCCCCGCCGCGCCTGCCTGGCCCCGTCGCGCCCTGCCTGGCCCCGTCGTGCCTGCCTGGCCCCGTCGCGCCTGCCTGGCCCCGCCGCACCTGCCTGGCCCCGCCGCTTGGCCCCGTCGCGCCCTGCCTGGCTCCGTCGCGCCCGCCTGGCCCCGTCGCGCCCTGCCTAGCCCCGTCGCGCCCTGCCTGGCCCCGTCACCCTGCCTGGCCCCGCCGCGCCTCCCTGGCCCTGCCGCGCCTGCCTGGCCCCGCCGCGCCTGCCTGGCCCCGTCGCGCCCTGCCTGGCCCCGTCGCGCCTGCCTGGCCCCGTCGCGCCTGCCTGGCCCCGCCGCACCTGCCTGGCCCTGCCGCGCCTGCCTGGCCCCCGCCGCGCCTCCCTGGCCCCGCCGCGCCTGCCTGGCCCCGCCGCGCCTCCCTGGCCCCGCCGCGCCTGCCTGGCCCCGCCGCGCCTGCCTGGCCCTGCCGCGCCTGCCTGGCCCCGCCGCGCCTGCCTGGCCCCGCCGCGCCTGCCTGGCCCCGCCTGCCTTCCTGGCCTCGCCAGCACCTGCCTGGCCCCACCGCACCTGCCTGACCCCTTCGCCCCGGCTCGTCCTGCCGTGCCGCCTCGGGCTCCGTCTCCTCTGCTCGCCCGTGCTGAGGCGCTTCGCGGCCGCCGTGCTGGAGGGGGCTGTCGCTGTGTTCCTGTGGAGCTGTGCCGCTGACCCTGCACGATGGCGGACTTCGTGCTCCGACTGGACGCCGAGGGCCATGCGGTTGACTTCGCCGCCTGGCTCTCCGATCTCCGCCGCCACCTTACAGGTCAGCGCCAGGATGGCCACTCTTTGGTTGTCCATGTCGACGGCTTGCTCCCCCGTCCCCCCGCACCTGCTCCCCTCCCTGCTGATCCCTCCTCTGATGACCGTGAGACCTTCTCTACTGCTGCGCTTGCCCGTGCGGTCTGGGACTCCCGCGATGCAGTCGCTCAGGTTGCCATTAGCCACGCCCTCCCTGTCTCTGAGCGCTCGCGTTTTGCTACTATTGAGACGGCCAAAGCTTACTTAGACGCTGTTATTGCCCGCTATTCCACACCCGCGTCTGCTTCAGCTGGTCGCCTGCTCTTCCCTATGCTTTTCCCAGACCTTGCAGCTTTCCCTACCGTCGCAGACTTTGCCACTCACCTGCGTGCCCTAGAGACCCGCTATCGCACTGCCAGCACTGCTGCCCAGCTCACTGCGCTCCCCCCCCCTTTCTGCATGACGCTCTATTTTATCGCCATGCGCCTGCCAGACCGCCTCGCTAGTGCTCGCGATCACTTTCTTAGCCAGCACCCGGGTGACCTCACTCTCACTGCCTTTGTCGACACCCTCACCGAGATCGAGACTCGCCAGCGCACTATCGCTCAGTCGAGCGGTGCGCCGGCAGTTTCTATCTTTCACGGTTGTGCCCCCTCCCAGTGTGCGTTCACTGACGTTTCGGCTGCGGTCGCCTCGGCGGCCCCTCTCACCGAGTCGGCTGGTGCGGTCCACCCGCAGCAGCGCTCGCGCCGCGGTGGCCGTGGTCGCCAGGGGGGTAGGGGTGGTGGTGGCAGTAGTGGTGGTGACGGTAATCCGCCTGCGGGGACTACCACTGGTGGGCAGGAGCAGCAGCCCCAGCCGCAGCCGCCGCCCCAGCAGCAGTTACCGTCCCAGCAGCAGTCGCCGCAGCAGTGGGCCCGTCTCCCGCCTGGTTGGCCCGGCACCTCGGAGGTAGTGGCCGTGGTGGCGGCCCGCGCAGCTTGGCGTCTACCGGCGGCTCCGGTGCTGTCACCTGCCAGTACCAGCTTCAGACCGGGCCTCTTCGCGGCACTCTGTGCCGCCGCCCGCACCCGACCGCCCGCTGTTTCCGCCGCCTCGACGATCTCTTTCGTCGTCGCTTTGGCCCGGCCCCGGACCTCCCCGACTGGCACAGCCTGCTCCGCCAGGGCGTGCCGATCTTTGAGTTAGACATGGATCAGCTAGGTGCTGCTTTGCATGCTTTGTATTCTGACACTTCTAGTTTTGCTGGATCTTATTACCCTGTGTACTCTAGTTTAGGTGTTGCACCACTGTGTAGCTTAGCCTCCCCTGCTGCGTCAGGCGTAGGACTGCCTAGGTTGCCTAGTCTAGTCGCTGCACCGGCTCCGTCCCCGGCCTCCGCCACTGCGTCGCTGTCCTTCACTCTCGACTCCGGTGCTTCTGCCTGCTTCTTCCGCGACCGTTCCACGCTCACGCCGCTTGCTGCACCTGCTGTTGTCTCTCTCGCTGACCCCTCTGCGGGTCCGGTCGTCGCGCGCAGTTCTACGTCCCTTCCCTGTCCGGCAGTTCCCTCAGGCTCCCTTACTGGCCTCCACGTTCCCTCGTTCTCCAGGAACCTGGTTGGTGTCGGCTGTCTCCAGGACCTCGGCGTCACCACACGTTCCCCGGGCACGAGCGGTTCGCTGTCTGTTCTGAGGCTGTCTCAGGTTCCCCCCTTGCGACGTTCCCCCGGGACCCGGTGTCCGGTCTGTTTACCCTAGACACCGCTTCCCCCCCGGTTGGTGCGTCCTCCCAGGTCGCTGCAGCTTGCTCGTGTCGGTCCCTCGCTCACCCCTCCCTTCTCTGGCACCACCGCTTAGGTCACCCTGCTCTCCCGCGTCTGCGTCACATGTCCCAGCACGGTCTTGTCTTAGGTCTCCCTGCGTCGCTCCCTGCCCTTCCTCCCTCGACTGCGCCACCGTGCACGCCTTGCGTCGAGGGTCGGCTTCGCCGTGCTCCTCACTCCTCCTCGCTGCGTCCTGCTACTGCCCCCCTTCAGACCCTGCACTTGGACGTTTGGGGCCCTGCCCCCGTCCCCGGACCGCGCGGTGAGCGCTACTTCCTTGTGCTCGTCGACGACTACACGCGCTACACCACGGTGTTTCCCCTGGAGCGGAAGGCCGACGTGCCCGACGTTCTCTCCCGTGGGTTGTGGCTGCGCGTCTCCACCGCGGTCTCCCCGTGTTGTGTCTCCACTCCGACCGTGGCGGCGAGTTCGCCTCTGGTCGGCTTGGACAGTTCTGTCGTGCGGAGGGCATCACCCAGTCTTACACCTTGCCGGACTCGCCACAGCAGAATGGGGTTGCTGAGCGCCGCATCGGCTTGGTCATGGAGGTCGCCCGTACCTCCATGATCCATGCCGATGCCCCCCATTTTTTGTGGCCGTTCGCTGTTCGCTACGCTGCTCACCAGCTTAACCTGTGGCCACGCTCCCAGCGGCCGCAGGTTTCGCCGACCCTCCTTTGGACCGGGTCCCCCGGTGACGCGTCTGCGTTCCACGTCTGGGGCTGCCTTGCTCACGTTCGTGCCTCTGGCACGGACAAGCTCAGTGCCCGCACTGTCCCCTGTGTCTTCCTCGGTTTCCCCCTGGACTCGTCTGACTGGCTTTTCTACCACCCGCCGTCTCACCGCTTCCTCCACTCTCGTGACGTCACCTTTGACGAGTCCGTCTCCTTCTACCGCCGCTTCCCTCACCGAGGTCTCCCAGTTGCCCCCCCCCTGTTCCTTGCTCCCTCTCCCCCGGTAGCCCCTGCCCCTCTCCCGCCTCGTCCTGCCCCGTCTGGTGTCTCCCACGTCACTCCCCTCCCGTCGGTTGTCCCCGTTGAGGAGTCTGCTGACTCTGGTGGTACCCCCGGTCCGTCCTTGCCGCGTCCCCCTTCCCCGGTGCCTCCGCCCCCACTGTCGCAGTCGCCGACCCCGCTGCCGCCGCCGTCGCCGTCGCTGCCGCAGCCGTCGCCGCTGTCGTCACCGCCGCAGCCGTCGCCGCCGCCGCCGCTGTCGCTGCCGCAGCCGTCGCCGCTGTCGCCGCCGCCGCAGCCGTTGCCGCCACTGCCGCCGCCGCTCTTGGCCCCTGGGGGTGCTGGTGTGGAGGAGGGTGTTCGTCCTGCGGCTTCTGGGGGTGCCGCTGGTGTTGGAGGGGGTTCTCGCTCTGGGGGTGTTGGTTCTGGGGGTGCTGCTGTTGAGTGTTCTGCCGACGGTCGTTCTGCCTCTGCTGGTCCGAGAGTTCCGGCCCAGCCGTCGTCGCCGCCGCAGCAGCCGTCGCCGCCGGTTTCCGCTCTCCGCCTGCTCGGCCTTCCCTCACCGGACCGCGCGCCGGTGTCTCCCCCACCGCCTGCTGACCTCCCTGTCTACGGTCCTGTGTTCCCGCCGCCGGACTCGTCTCCGGCCCGTCTTCCTCCTCGTTCCCCTCCTGTGTCTCCTCCGCTGTCCCCTGACCCTACCCCTCCGTCTCACGTTTGGGCTCGCCGTCCCCCCCGTGCTCGTCCCGTCTCTCCTGTCCTGCCCACCCACCCTATGTTGCTCCGTTCCCGCTCGTCTCGTCCTCCCCTCCTCCCGTCCCCTCCTCCCTCGTCCCTTGCTGTTGCACCTCCTCCGTTCTCTGACTACCTCCGTGCTTCTCGTCCCCTTGTCCCTCGGGTCCTTGCCTCTCTTGTTACCGACCTTGCTGTTCCTGTCTCGCGCCTTGACGCGCTTGTCGCCGCTGTCGCTGACTTCGCTTCTACCCGCCGCCTTGACTACGCTACCGCTCTGGTCTCTGACCCTGCCCGTCCTCTGTCCGTCGGGGGTGCTCCTGCCCTTGGCAGTGACGTCCTAGAGGACAGGCAGTACGAGCTGGCTTTCCTTTCCGAGGCTGCTCCCCATCTCTGCTCCATGCTCCTAGTCCCTGAGGGTGACCCAGACGCCTTCGACATCCCGACCCCTCGCACCTACGCTGAGGCCACCTCGGGACCTTGGGCCTCTCAGTGGATAGCTGCCATGGAGCAGGAGATGGCATCTTGGAGGTCCACCGGCACTTACGTCGACGCAGTTCCCCCGCCTGGGGTGAACGTAGTCGATGGTCGGTGGCTCTTCAAGGTGAAGCGCCCCCCTGGAGAGCCGCCTGTCTTCAAGGCGCGCTACGTGGCCAGAGGTTTCAGTCAGCGCGAGGGGGTTGACTTCTTCCAGACCTTCGCCCCGACCCCGAAGATGACCACTCTTCGGGCGCTGCTACACGTAGCAGCACAGCGTGACTACGAGCTTCACTCCCTCGACTTCTCTACTGCCTTTCTTCAGGGCAGCCTACACGAGCAGGTCTACCTGCGCCGACCACAGGGCTTCACTGGTACCTTCCCTCCTGGGACCCAGTGGCTTCTCAGGCGCCCGGTCTACGGCCTGCGTCAGGCTCCCCGCGAGTGGCACGACACGCTACGTGCCACGTTAGCAGACCTGCAGTTCTTTCCGTCCTCTGCTGACCCTTCACTGTTTGTGCGTTCCGGCCAGACTCCGTTCTACATCCTTGTCTACGTAGACGACCTGGTCTTCGCTACTCCTGACAGGGACGCACTGGCCTCTGTGAAGGCTGAGCTGCTGAAGAGACACACCTGCACTGACCTTGGAGAGCTGCGTCGCTATCTTGGCCTGCAGATCTCCAGGGACAGAGCAGCACGCACCATCACTCTGACCCAGTCACACTTGGTGCGTCAGGTCCTTCAGAGGTTCGGTCTTCAGTTCTCCTCCGCACAGCCCACACCTCTACCCGTAGACCATGGGCTCTCTGCTCCCGTTCCTGAGGAGCCAGTAGAGCCCAGTGGCCCCTACGCAGAGCTGGTGGGTTGCCTCATGTACCTGATGACTTGCACGCGCCCAGATCTCGCATACCCTCTCAGCATCCTGGCTCGCTTTGTGGCTACAGGCAGACACCGACCTCAGCACTGGTCTGCCGCTAAGAGGGTTTTGCGTTATCTTGCTAGTACATCAGGCATGGGGTTAGTGCTAGGAGGACGCAGGCCAGTGGTCCTTACTGGGCACACAGACGCTTCTTGGGCAGACGACGCTGAGACGCTCAGGTCGTCACAGGGCTACTGTTTCAGCCTTGGTTCGGGTGCTATCTCTTGGAGATCCACTCGCTCGTCGTCTGTGGCTCAGTCTAGCTGTGAGGCTGAGATCTACGCTGGTGCCATGGCGGCACAGGAGCTCCGCTGGCTGACCTTCTTGCTCACAGACTTAGGTGAGCGGCCTAGCTCTGCCCCGGTCCTGTACGCTGACAACAGGGCCATGATACTCCTGTGTCAGGAGCCTCGGCTTGAGGGCAGAGCGAAGCATATCCAGCTGCGGTACTTTCTCCTGCGTGAGCTACAGCAGCGCCGCCAGGCCCGCGTAGTTCACTTGGCCTCAGGTGCCAACACAGCTGATATCTTTACTAAGGCGCTTGCGCCTAAAGATCATCAGCGGCACTGTGTACAGCTTGGTCTTGTTCCTGTAGCTGCTCCCCTGTTAGGATCCTGATTGTGTACTCTCTATTATATATGCTTGTCAGACTGGCCTTGTGGCCTTCCTCCAGTGGCTGGACTAGTAGTGCCACCCTGGCTTGCTTCAGTTTTGGTTGTATTCTTGCTGACTGGTCTCCAGACCCCTGCCTCAGTGGTTGGACTAGTAGTGCCGCCCTGAGCTGTTTGTTTCTTGTTTAGTTTCACCCCTTGTCTAGCCTAGGGGGTGTGTCAACTTATACATATTATCTATGTAGAAGTTATAGGCTAGACTGAGGTATGCTTCTAGTGAGTACAACCAACTAGTATTTGTTCTAGGTTTCCACCTCTAGTCATTATTCGTTTCTCACTTTGACATAGTCAGTGACTTCAGATTTCTCACCTTGACTAGTACCAGCAAATAGTATGAGAAATATAAGAATAGCAGTTGTAGAAATAGAGTTGCAGGAGCGGTTATCGAGTCGCACAGCGACTCGATTGTCGCTTCGGTTACCATCCGCGCTGTTGTAACGGTCAGTCGCAACCTCCAGTTGCGACCCTTCGAATCCCTTCGCGTTCTTTGTCCGCCCCCTCGTGTAACCTCCGTTGACTCGCGTACTCGTTGGGATCTTCCTCGAGTGTAGTGTTACACTTCAGAAACGCTTACGTCCTTTGAGATATTTCCAACACTCCCCTTCATTTCTGGAGTGCTGACGTGTTCAGATCCGGTGACGTTTGTCTGCCCGGTCAGCAGCGTGCAGTAATCAAATTTTGCCTTCGCCAATTTCTTCGTCAGATAGTCTGCGGCCATTTCTGTCGTCGGGCAGTAACTGCGTTGAAGTCTCCTCTTTGCGATTTCATCATTGACGAAGAAGTACCGCAGGGCGATGTGCTTGGTTCGGTTGGCGAAGCCGTCCTTGTTCGCGATTTTGATCGCAGATTGGTTGTCGTAGAGGAGTGAGAAGACGGGCAGGGTCGCAATCTTCGCTTCCTCGAGCAACTCTCGTAGGTAGAGTCCTTCCTTGGTCGCAGTACAGAGGGCGATATACTCTGCTTCAGCCGAAGATAGTGCGATTAGTTCCTGCTTGCCCGACTGCCAGGAGATAGTCCCGATAGGTTCTAGTCGGTAGATATAGCCCGTTCTGATCGACGATTTCCCTTGTCTCCCGCGTGGTCGGTGTCGACGTACCGAGAAGTTGTACGGACGAAGTCGTTACTTTGCTGTAGGTAAGCCGGTCGTCAGCGTGAGACGAAGTAAGAAGTAGTGCCCGATTAAGTTCTCGAGATTTCTTGTTCCGGCAGCTTCAGATGCGTCGCCAGTTGGCTCGTGCTGTAAGATAGATCGGGTCGGCATGTTACTGCTGCGAATAGTAGACAGCCGAGCTTCTGCTGATACTTCCTGGATTTGCTTCGCGGGGAGTTTTGCTGAGGTGTTGCTGTTGTTCCCGTAGCGGTAGGGAGTCGGGACCATAGTGCGTTAGACCGAATTCTTCGCGACAGTGCCCGCGTATTTTCCACGTGTAGTAGAACGCCGAGTTTGTCTTCGGACGACATTCAGTCCCAGGTACTGGTTACTGAGTCGGACACTGTGAGTGTCAAGTCCCTTTCAGCTCCCTTCGAACCAGGTGCGATGTCGGTGGTGGAACCGATGTAGAGCAGGTCGTCGACGTAAACGATGAGTAGGATATACTCCCCTCTCTGCAATCGTACATGCCTTTGGTCTACGGCAGCTGTAGGAATCCGATTTTACGAGGCGACCGTGAAGATGCTGGCTGCAGAGCCGCGGGGCTTGCTTGATCCCGTAAAGGGATTTTAATCAGCTGGCACACTTTTGTAGGGTCGTCGATGAATCCGTGGGCTGCTCGACGAAGATTCGGCGTCCACAGGTGCGTACAGGAAGGCGTTGGCGTCATCGATCTGGCGCAGTGGTAGCTTTTTGTGGCCGCGACGGCGAGCAGAATGCGCAGGGAGGTATGTCGGGAGACTGGGGCGAATGTCTCTGTATAGTCCGTTCCGTATCGCTGGTCGAATCCTCGTACAACCCAGCGAGCTTTGAAGCGGTCGATGGAGCCATCCGCATTAGTTTTGATGCGGTACACCCATTTCCCCGAGAGAACGTTCTTCCTGTTGTTTTTAGTTGCAGGTACCAGCTTCCACGTATTTCGGTCTTGCAGGGACTTTAGTTCTTTTTCCATTGCTTCCTTCAATTTCGCCTTGTGTTCCCCCCCTAGAGCCTGCGACAGAGTCGTTGGCTCGCACGGCGACGGCGGCGGCGGGCTCTGGACGGCGACCCATAGTCCAAGTATCTGCAGGCCCGTGGGTGTGTGTCGAGGGGAATGGGCATTCTCAGGATAAGCTGCTTCGTCACCATCTTCGGGGTCAGGTAAGAAATTGGGTCCGATGCGTTCAGAGATATTTGTGTCGACCGGTTGTGGTGTAGTGTAACCCTGGTCAGCGAAGTGGTAATAGGTGTCGAGGTTGTTACTATCGAGAGGATTGTCGTTGTCGAGTGGGACGGGCACGGAGCAGTAAGGGAGTGGTCCGGCAGCTTCCGAGGCTTAAGGTATGTCTTCTTCTGCTGCGTCAGCTTCGGCAGCACGGTCGGCAAAGGATTGATGGCTTTCAA